GATCATCGGCTCTGAGGAAAACGAAGATGTCGAAACGTTAGCCGGAAAATACATAAATATCATTATCAACCTCGTGTAAGCTCATTAAAGAAAGAATACATATTGATTTGTGACACCGAGGTTCAAAGAAAGACGGTTTCGAAATACTTTGTTTTTATTACTTTACCTATAAGCTCCTGAAAGCAATTTACCTAATCGTTTCCACTTCATTCTTACTGTTGTCGTTTTTTCATTTCTCTTGGCTAAGCTGAGAATACGAAGCACTGTCGTTCCATCTATCGTATTCTCTCGTCAAGCAGGCTGAATTTTCATCCTCAAGAAGAACACCTTCAAACTCTCACAAAACCTTCAATACATCCAAGAACAGGATTTTTGTACTCACTAACGTATCCTATACATTTGTACAAAAAGCTTATCGTTCAGCAATTTTGAAGAACACTGGGAGAAGGAGGCTACCTTGTATTTTCAGATGTGTGTTAGTTGTGGAACCGCATTGATGTTATTTAAAAAGATAATAATAATATTTTTCATTCTGAAGCAAATTGCATTTACTGTTATGTAGAATTATCGTAATAAATGTTATTTTTACCAACTCGATCCTTTTCCGCTCACTTAATAAACAACCTCAAACTCCCGCCATATATCGATCACTTAGGCCAAGTTTTCCATCAAGGGACTTTGGACCCATAAAATATTGAGAATGCTCCATACTAGGCTCAATCCAAATAATCTCTTACGTGAAAGGAATTCAGCTTCATCCAATACCTTCAAATTCGAATATTCGAGATTTTTCACAGCAATTTTTCGGTGGATGTCTTTTTTTCTTCAGTAACTTCTATCCATAATAATCAATAGGTTGAGAGTTTAAGCGAAGTCGTTTTATTATGGATTAAAATACACGTGAACAAACATCGTCGACAAGTGGATGAGAAAGAATCAAGTCGTATTCGCATTCACCAAAGTTTCCTAGGGCTGGGCTTTCTCGGCTTTTCTTCAATGTTCTTCACACGATTCTCGCCGGGAAATACGAACTGAAATCTCAAGCACATATTTAAAAAGCTGTTGAATTCTATAATACGTGGATTTTTACGGATCACCTTAAAAAATTGCGTAGGTTAACCCAAAATAACCTTACTATGATTGGTATTCTGCTAGGTATGTAGATTTCTCGCATTCATGGAGGCCCGAAACAGCCGGCCCGCATGTTGGCAAATACATCCACCTGGACTGAGGATTAAAGAGAGATTGACTGCTTAGCGAGTGGAAAGAAATTCTACACAGACGGTCGCGATTTTTTCCATTCATTAATTTACTAAATGAGATTCTAGGTAGAAATATCCTACCTCGTCTCAGTTTCACTGACCTTGGCCAAGTTATGAACCACCCGTTGTACATCGCAGTTCGATAACTAAGAGCATACAGATTGGAATCATGATAGGATAAATCACCGTTGTCGAATATTCCTCATATACAGCAGATCTAGACATTGGCAACTATCGCCTATTCTGCTTTCTGTCTGCTGTCTACAAACTTTTCACTCGAGTCATCCTAAACAGGATTGGCAGAACACTGGACGAATGCCAGCCATGTGAGCAAACTGGGTTTCGAAAAGGATTTAGTAGGATGGACCACATCCACACGATAACACGATAACAATAATCACCGAAGTATCGCGAGAGTACAAAAGACCGCTTTGTCTCACTTTTATCAATTTAAGGATGGCTCTTGATTCAGCTGAGGTAGAAGCAGTCATGGAAGCACTTGATGGTCAGAGAGTTCTTACTCAGTAAAGATTCTTCGCTGGTTGCACAGAAATTTCACAACTACGTTATCACCATTCTACAACTATATTAACATCGATGTCAAAAGTGGGGTTAGCCAAGGCGATATCATTTTCCCGAAATTATTCTAGTAGTGAAAATCGGTGGAAGACAGTTACACCATCTTCACTTTGCTGATGATATCGCTTTTATAGCACTAAACATTAGCCAAGCGGAACGTATGCTTGCCGACTTTGATAAAGCCTGTGGAAAAATTGGTCTTCGATAAATCTCACAAAAACGATGTTCATGAGAAACGGATTGGTTACGTATGTCCCAATCGCGCTCAACGGAATTAGTGTCTCTGAGTACACCATTTGCGGCTATCTAGGTCTAAAAATCAATATAATTAACGACTTAGCCCCAGAGCTGAGCAGAAGGAAACGAGCGGCTTGGAGAGCTTTCAAGAGCGTCGAGGTTGTAGTGAAGAGAACAAAGAACACCCGACTCCATGCCCACCTTTTCGACTCAACGGTTCTTCCCGTCCTAGCGTATGCGTCAGAAACCTGGTCGCTGCGTAAGTAGGATGAAAGATCAGTCAGCGTTATCGAACATGCAGTCGAAGGGACGACGTTAGGAATACCCCGCGTCACGCAAGTAAGGGAAGGGATCCGAAGCTCCGATCTAAGTGAAAGATCATGAATCCAAGAAGCCGTTCTATACACCAAACAGTCGAAGATAAGGTGTGCCGGATACGTAATGCGTATGAATGACAACCGATGGACAAAAGCCGTTAATGACTGGATTCCTCAGGATGTCAAACGTACTGCAGGATGAACACCGACTCGATGGTCAGAGTTCTTCGCGAAAAGACTAGTGTAAAGGTATGACGCTCAACGAGTCCCTAGAGCAAACAGAACCCACTGAGCTATTCTTGCACGCTACAGGGTAAAATGGAAGATTTATTGGCGCGCGCTCGAGTGGCTCGAAGACCAGCGGGTGATACAGCAGACCTTGAACACGTTTAGCGTAGAAGTTTGAGATGGCTTACGATACACGCGTGGTCGTTCTCTCGTCCACTGCGCCCCAGGTCCACCAGGAATTCTATCTATCCGGCGTTAGAAAATTGGTACCAGACTTGTCTGGGAAGATAGCAGCACTGACTTTTACATCAGTGAGCTACCGCAATTCACTGTATAGGGCAGATATGCATTCAACCACCTGTAACGAATCTATGAAGCCGCATGCATGGCCCATCCCCTAGACACTCATCAATGCGTAACGCTTTATCCTTTTTATCTTTTATACAACATACGAGATTCAATCCTAAAAATTGAGAATTGCTAAATACGGTGCCGTAAATGGAAGAGAGTTCCCATAACTAATAAAAAAACGCAACAAATGTTCACGATACGCTACTTATCGAGCTACTACTAGATACTCCTAAGCCAACAACAATAAAATATAGAGTCTAATCGGAATGCTTCTGACGAAGTAGGAGCGAAAAATGTGGTGACTTTACTGATATACCCCAGAGTCTTTCGGTGGTAGGAACACGGTTACAGTGGTAGTTATAGGACTACCAAAGTTTATACTGTAATGGATATATTCGTAGACTTGTTAATAAATGCCCATATCGAGGTGAATAGAGGTGCCCTGTATAAAGCACGAGGTAATAAGTTCGATCCATTCGCTCAGGATACATAAAGAGCTCTATCGCCGCAGACGGCAAATTGGTCTGGGACTGGTCTAGGAAATAAAGACGCGTAGATGATAGATCAATAGGTTTCTATAAGTCACTGTTGACGCCAAACAACCATTCAGTTATTTTTACGATTAGAGTAAAATGTGGGACACCTCCGTAAAGACTATGGCAACACGGGATTCTCACCTGAAGATTCAACTTTCCAAGGTCGTATGTCCGTATCGGTTTTGATCCCATAGTAACATAGTCTTTCGGAACGTGGAAGTCAAATTTACGATAACCGGTCTGAATGAGAACGTTACCAACTCTACTTATTCAACTAACAGCGATATAACAGAGTTCGTAATATTTCCGTCTACGGGGATTCGTAGTATTTCCCTTTTTGTTCCCCGGTCGGCTTTAACTGAGTGTCAGCATACCCGAGCAGACCCTCAAAAACAACCATTAAAGCATTTCAAGCCATTACATTTCATTATACCACAAGTTCTGCCGAATTGCCATTATGATTTTTTGGGATGTCAACAAAGTGAGACGTCTAACGGAACGCTTAATGCCAAAATGTAAAGTAGGTGTTATTCAGTCATCAGTGACCAGAAAACGTGCCATTAATAAAACAATACACTACACTGGAACTATTCGAATTTTCAACTAAAGAATGACTCATGTTTGGCTATAAATTGAAATCGAAATTCCGAAAACGGTCGCTCACTATTTGACTGTTCGAGTCAAAACATGGCAGGGAATTTTCAGTGTATAGCCGACCTTGTTGACATTCTTAGCGTCATCATCACATGTATGATAGAATGACACTACTGGCTCCATATTTGTCTCGTTTAACGGGAAGCCGTTCGTATTACCCTCGAGCAGAAATGTCCCTGGTTTGGTTGTTACCTTCTCATCAAGTACCTGATTCAAATCTGAAAGTACCGTATCACATGTGTATAACCCATACTGATGGCATTATGCTTGAGAGCACAGTTCATAAAAATGCCTGTGTTAAATACTTTAAATGTTTTCTTTCGATTCATTAGCAACTAAAAAGGCGCATCGTCGATCTGTTTCTGCAATGCATTTGCTTATCACAGCATTTTCTCCTTGAAATTTCTAACCAACTCTTATAACATTCATAAACAGCTGCTGTTAAATTCTGTTATCGCTTCTTCTCCTTTCACCACCTAAAGGTTTTCCTAAGCGCTCAGAATTTCAACTAAATCACTATCCCGTGCTAACGCGTGGTCTGGCGCGATACTTGACTGTACTGAATCGAAATGAAGGAAGGTGATAAGCCCTCTTCGCGGATTCCAAAAGATCGGTTTTAATTCTTTTCGAACAAGCTGGGATTAACGCTAGGAAAAATTTCTGATTAAAATAAACTTACCATCCTTCTTATTCTGCTTCGCACGGAACAATCGTACTCTGACATTATCCGCCGGTTGCTTACCACACAATAGTAGACCACGGACAGCAACTGCGTGTTTTTGAGGTACCGCCGCTGTCGTTGGAGGTACTTCCACTGCCAGCATTGGCAGTAGACATGCTATCAGCAGACTATTCATAGCCAAATATGAAAAATAAAAATGTACAAATAATTTAATTTATGATATTTTGGAGCTCAATGAGAAGGCGTATGTGCTGCTTTAAAGTCAAAGACAGTTAAAGTTTTAAGGTCACTCAATGCAATTTCAATTTATTAAAGAGGGCTGTGGATAGAGCGCATTTGCATTGATCCACGTTAATAAGCGCATGACTTGACAGCATCCCAGCACAAAGTCGACCAAGCTTTCCATACCACCCGCGGTTAGAGAAATGGTACCAAACTTGTTTGGTAAGATACCGACATCCCATTAGACCTAAGAATGCTCTAGCATTGTTGTGCCAGAATTCCAAGGAGAATCACTTTCAACGAGATTTTTGAAGACGATCAAGGAAATCCTAAAGGAGCAGTGGTAACTATAACCAAATCCGAAGATCGTTTTGTATAATGCACGGCCAGAAAGAAATCGATTGGAGAAAGTTTCGAGATAAACACAATATATGCAGTATTGAGCCATGTAGAAGTAATATTTTAAAAAATTTGCTAAAGATATTAACGGCAAAAACCGCGACTGTTACTACTGAAAATGGATTGCACCGCCTTCTGGACGCAAACCGGCTGTTTCGAAGAATTTCGTAACGACGTTTCTCCTTTTCCATCATCAAAGATGGTTAGAGTTATAGGTGGATTAAGTTCACTTTGTGGTAGCTGGAAAAATTGAAGGGCGCGTTGTGACGTCCTATTACGCTGGACCAGAAACCAGGATTAGTATCTTGACCATAAACAGTTTCATCGAATTCACCACTTTGTCGAATATCGTCTTTTTCAAAGCAGTGGAACCCTTAACTGACAGAGTTAGTTTCTCAGGTATCCAATAAATTTCACCACCTAATTACTGAAACAAAAGGACCAATTGCAAATGAATCACATTAGTAGTGAAATGAAGAAGTTCTCAACATGAAGTAGATTATTCCCTAACATCAACAGCTGCTAAGAAGAACTGACTGAAATTGATTAGGTGAGTTGTTCAGGTAGTGCTGTCTTGTCTTATCGCATCGTTCTTGCCGATATGGAAAACACTTGATAATAGAAATCAGTGACAATCGTGTTGTTTAGTTGATAACACTTCTGCACTAAAAGTCCAGTGCTCCTGAAGTACTAGCAAACTCCATATTTATACCAAAATAAGAAAAAAAAATAAAAAATAAAAATAAATAGAGAAGTAAAAGTAAAAATCAAATATACTTCTTAAATAGCCAGTCGACTAAAAACAAGATTTCTCATTCTTCTGCTGCCCTTATAGGAATCCCCGGTTACGTGTAACGCAGTGATTAGTACATCTTCCACGATTCCATCAGGTTCAGCTGGTTCTCGTGATTCGTTACCGCTTATTCTAGACTGAAAACTTGCGTCGATCGTTGCCGCAGTCGCTGAATCTGAGGAGAACGAGTTGTAGTGCCATTTCGAAGAGCAATTGGTTTCAATAATACAGAAGTTCAAAAGACCGACTTTCACTTAGATTCGGCATAAATAATCAATAATATCTTAGAAACTGTCCTTCTTTAATATAGAGCGACGTTAGCATTTCTTCTTTTCCTAATATGATGGATGGTGTTTCGATGATTCCGCCTTTCTCAGAGCCCTTTCATCCTTAGATAGAGTAAGGTAAATCACTCTGCTTTTCGCACACTATCGAACACTGTGGTTCGACCGCACGGACAAAAGTGGATCAACGTGAGTGCCGTGGTGAATCAGCTTGAACATTTTATCGCTGCTGTAAGAGAGATGAGGTGAAGACGAACTCGAGCTTGTTTACTTTGCAAAGGCACTATGTGACATGGATTCAACGATTCGCCATAAACTCACTATGCTGAGCTGATAAAAGTCCAAAGTTTATTGGATTTCAGTCATAATGTTTTAACTTTTTTATTTACTGCCCATTATTTTTTTTACCGCCTAATAGAAAGGCAACGCGAGGGCATCGCTTAGTGCAGTGGGCAACACGCGAGCCACCGGAATGGGTTGCCAAGGGCTCGAAACCCAAGTGAGGTTCCGAATTTTGCACATATCTCAACATTCTTGTGATTGAATCGCAGTTGCCATATTTCTATTTCTTGCAACGTTGCAACAACGTTGCTGAGATATTTCTTGCAAATATCTCAGCAACGTTGTGGTTGTATTCCGCTTAGTAACCTGCCATGAAAATTATAGAAGGCAGAAAACAAAACGTTAAAACATTGTGATTTCAACTACAGCCATAGCTTAACTGGGTTCTATGCCGATTTGCGCTCCCCAGATCAACCCCGCTGACGGGTGATTGCTGTGGCAAAAAGATCGATAGAAATAGCTGAGAGACGTGCGAAACAAAGGACCCGCATGGTGTGGTGGTGAACGCGTTACTCCCCGGAAAGGACAATAGCGCGTTCGTTCCCCACCATAGACACCTGCGGTCCAGAGTTTTGCAAATATCTCAGCAACGTTGTGGTTATCTTCATGGTGTTGTGATTAAACGATTCAGCAGTATATCAACGCTGGTAGTGCAGTGGTCGGAGGCGCACTGCAATACACATGGAATCGATCCCTACGCCCTAGTCTCACCGAACATTCCATCCCTCCAGGGTCGACATATAGGTACCAGATTTGTCTGGGACGATAGCAGTACTGGCTCGATACATCGGTAGGCCACCATTAGTCATTGTATAGGCCAGATAGCTCAGTCACCAACAAGGGTGCTTAGTGAAGTGGAATGCATTGCGCATCTCTTAGGTATTGATGTACTCCGAACGCTTGGTCATTTTTATCCTTTTCATCGAGCATGAGAGAGGCATCATTAGGGAAAAATTACTGAACATAAAGCAATGACCAAACGATAACGTTGACACAAACGGAACGCCTTGAAGAAGAGACGACGACAAAAGCACGAAAACCAACGAAAAGAAACCACGACTTCGTCCGTAATCCACCAACACACAGCATGGGACCACAAGCACCACTACGACATAGATATACTTGTGAATTTCTAAAGAAAGTAGCGCAAAGTACGTCATGGGCGCTGAAATATCACAAGGGATGGCTAGAAATCACAGGTCGTCAGTTACAGCAAGTATGTGGTTTATTGTCTCTTCTATACAACTTCCAAAAGACTTTACCTGCTATAAGATTCTTCAGAAATTAATACCGAATTTGTAGTTTCATCCTCGTTGCATATCAACGCTGTTTTAGCAAGGGTTTCTTTTAAGAAAGGTGTACTACTATGTATCGTTGCACAGTTAATCTCATGCACTTTCATGATGTGTAAGTGAAATGGACTAAAATTGGTATTTTCAGCAGGTTTTACAAGTTTGGCTTTGTAATATCAAGGCAAAATTTCAGAGAAATCTGCTTCTACGAAGTCGAACTTGGTCGTAGTACTGTGCAAACAACCCGAAATGTCAATGTGGGATGGGGCCAAGAGGGTGCCAAAAACGAAGTTATTTTAAATATTTAACTGTGAGTTGAACTACGGAAGAGAGGAAGGTCGCGGAATGTCCTTCTGCTACTAATAACGACGAGTTGAAGGCATTCGTTCATGCAAATACATGCACATCTCTTCGTGAAGTTATAGAAGAACTCGATGTAACATCGCAACCATCTTTAAACAAGCTGGAAAGTGGAAGAGCTTGACAAAGCGATGTCGCACGAATTGAATGACGCTTGAAGAAATTGTCGTTGGTGCTCTATCTGTGCGACAACAACGACCCATTTCCTGTCCGTATTGACGTACGACACGAACTGGGTTTTCTGCGATAACAGACAACGATCGGCTGAGTTAATGGACTGCGATGGAGCTCTGCACCACTTTCTAAAGCCGAAATTGCACCAAAGGAAGGTCGAGCTCACCGCCTACAATTTCTCTGATCCTTCGCTGCTTCCTAGCTAAGGTTGAAATTATAGCGGCGAAAAAACACGACCAGCAAGCCGACGAAATTCACTAGAAACTTCACTCACTGGTTCTTCTTTGTTCACTGCTCAACACAATACAACAAACAATCCTTCGAACGCGCTGAAACGTCTCGCGCTAGCGACCCTGCAGAAACTGGACGAACTGGGCTGCGAAACTCATCCTCAGCCACCATACTTCAACACATCTCGCGCCTACCGGGTACTACTTTTTTAAGCAACTTGAGAAGTCTCCTGTATAAGAAATGCTCCAAAAACCAACCCAAAGCTGACAGTGCTCTCAACGACACTATTGCCTCCAGAAGTTCAGAATTTATGCGACTTGTATAGATGAAATTTGTTTCGTTAGCAAATTGTGTAGATTCCAAAGTTTTTTATTTCGATTGACAAAGTTTGTTCTAGGGTGAGATACGCAGTTTAAAAATAATGGTTAAAATCAGGTATTATTTTCTTAAGGGCTAAATAGTTCTTGCGGTACTCAGGTTATTGTTTCGTTGGGAGTTATTGTTTTTAATTTTTTTCTGTCTTGCTTGAAAGTGCGAAACTTTGCGGCTAGGGCTGCCATATCCCCTTGACCTCTCCTAGTCTATCTAGTAGATTTCCCGCTTTAATTGCTGTGTTCTCTCCAACTCTTTCTATCCATCGATGACCACCTATTCATGCAGCAAATGAGCTCGAGTCCACAAGAAACCCTTCGAGGAATCTGTGGCGTTATATTTTTATACTTGCCAACCTAACAGTGATTTTATAACCAGTAGTATTAGGGTCATGGGCCCGTGTACCGCTATGGTTAAAAATGTCTTCTGCAATACACACTGGATCGGTCTCTGGTTCAATCCCGCATTCCCACACCAACGAAGTTTAGAGATCCATTGTTCATATGCAAAGATGGTGAAAGAGCACTAAAGGGAGACATGCCCATGTTGACGCAGAGAGGATCAAGAATTGTTATGCAAAATTCATGGATACACTGCTGTTGGAAAAGCGGTGAAAAATGAATAGGTCCTTGTGATGGGCATGGCTGGCCAGCTGGAAGCCCTGACTTAACATCGTGCGACCTTTCTCTTTGGTGATGGTTAAAAG